ACTCGGCTAGCTCAGTGGGTAGAGCATGAGACTCTTAATCTCAAGTTCGAAGGTTTGAGTTCCATGTTGGGCTTTTCTTTTACCTTTCTGTCTCTCAGCAAACTTTCATTAGGTTCATATAACAGACCTTTTGAGACAAAGTTCAGCGTTTCTACCACTGTAGGTGACCTTTTACTTAGTCTCTGTGGCGCAATCGGTTAGCGTGTTCGGCTGTTTTCTGAAAGGTTGGTGGTTTGGTTCAAGCCCACCCAAGGACGAATTAGGCATTTTGCTGCCTTGCAACTGCTAACACGTGCACTGGACATAGATCCTGGGCCACATTCTGTCCAGCATTACAAGATGAAATCAGGATTTAGCAGAACATTGTCACAGTTAGGGAAGGTATTGATGTAAACGGTGACTAGTTCTTGAAAAAGTTTCTTACCAGCCTGGCTAGCTCAGTCGGTAGAGCATGAGACTCTTAATATCAGGGTCATGTGTTCGAGCTCCATGTTGGGTGCTTCTGTTACCTTTCTGTCTCTAAGCAAACTTACATAAGCTTCATATAACAGACCTTTTGAGACAAAGTTCAGCGTTTCTACCACTATAGGTGACCTTTTACTAAGTCTCTGTGGCTCAATTGGTTAGCACATTTGCCGGCTATCTGAAAGGTTGGTGGTTCGGTTCAAGCCCACCCGGGAACGAATTAAGCATTTTGCTGCCTTGCAACTGCTAGCATGTGCATTGGGCATAGATCCTGGGCCACATTCTGTCCAGCGTTATGCTGCGTTCACACCAGACGCAAAACACGTGGATAAATTGTGCTATTCGTGCGTAAATTGCCGCGTCAAATCCACTTCATTTGTGTGTCAAATTCACTTCAGAACAGACACGGACTCGTGTGATGGGCAGGGCATCTGTCTGACCGGTGACTCTAGCTTCATTGCTAAAGGGCTAATATGGATTTTATGAAGAAAAAAACAGTGTTTATATGTTTTATGAAGACTGGAAAACAGCGTCAATACGTTAAGGGCCGTGTCTGAGTCCACTACATCCTTTCAGAGGTGCATCCAGCTCTGTGAGCTCATAAACTCCTCCAAAAACTGAACCTGGATGATGGATGATGGAGGCTTTCAGCTATGCGTCTGACTGAGCCAAGCCCAGTTTGATGACTTGTTGTCGATGTTGCCCGGAGGTTTTCCCCCGGGACACCATCAACAGGTTCTACGTCACAATCACTGAGTTCAGATTTTCGAACTCGAGGGATTCGCGCAAAACGATCAATTTGCGTCATTCGCGCCGCACCATTCGCGCGTATCGTGCCGCAGGATGTCTATATGCGCGCTTGCATAGACTTAACATGTACAACTCAGAACGCACGTCAAGCGACATTCTGTCCAGCGTTACAAGATGAAATCAGGATTTAGCAGAAGATTCTCAAGGGTAGGGAAGGTATTGATGTAAACGGTGTCTAGCTCTTGAATAAGCTCCTCACCAGCCCAGCTAGCTCAGTCTGTAGAGCATGAGACTCTTAATCTCAGGGTTTTGGGTTTGAGCTTATTCAAGAGGAGCAGGGTCCAGGGTACCGGTCAGGTTTGAGACATAATCATCCAGACTCTAAGGCCGTACTCACACTAGGTACAGTTGCCTCAAACCAGGCCAAAGCACGCTTGTCCCCCCTCCTGTCTCCCCCGACGGCCTGCGCTCACACCACAAACGGGCTTCGGCACGCTTACGTCATCGCTGCTGGGCTGTTCAGTGAGAAGCGCTCTCTCGCTCAAAAGCACAGTGGAGATTTCTCTAGTTATATCGTTTCAATCGTTTGATATGCCGTCGAATATTTCGCTTCCTTAGGGATGCTGGGACACGCAGTCAGATATTTCGCTGAACAGATCCGGCCCTTTTGGCGCTCATAAACAATCATAAAGCCCTCGTGCTGCAGGTATGAGGAGGTCTGCTGAAGGCGCGCAGCTGTCGTGAAGTGAGGAGTTTGTGTCTTTAATAAACGACGGCAGTTTGCGTTCACTGAACAGTAAGAATGATTAATAAATCCATATGAAACAGTCCCTTAAAAGTCACGTCTCGCTTTCAGTTTCGGGCTTTGGGGCGTTTTGCACTCGCACACAAGCGTACCGCGCCAAAGCCCAAGTGAACCGTGCTCAGGCACACCTCTTCCAACTGGGCCAGGGCCGGCCAAGTGAACCATGCTTGAGCCCGATTCAGCGCACTCACACTTCTCAAACGATCCAGGAAACGGACCTGGGCATGGTACGGATGGCATAGTGTGAGTAGGCCCTAAAGACCCCTTCCATCTTGTCAGCATTTTCTGCATCATGACATGCTGATTTTTGTTGTCTATTGTTTTTTTTTCTTCTCCGATTTTTGTTATTGGGCAAATGTCTCTAACAATATATTTTTGTGGCGCTGTTACTTAGCTGGTCAAAGTGCCTGTCTTGTAAACAGGAGATCCTGGGTTCAAATCCCAGCAGCGCCTTAGTGCTTGTTTTATAGAGCTTAACGAAATGAATTATGAAATTGTATAGCTTTGAGGCGTAATGGATAGTACAACAAATTGAGTTGAACAACCTCTTAGGTTGCCATTTAAAGACTTGCTGTCTTTTTTTGTCTCTTTGTGCAGAAACATCTTGCCCTCTTTTTTGCGCTGTGGCTTAGTTGGTCAAAGCGCCTGTCTAGTAAACAGAAGATCCTGGGATCAAATCCCAGCAGTGCCTAATATACTGGTGCCATGATTGCTTCTTCTTAAGAGTTACGACTGTTTACACAGCGTGCTGTTTAGCAGTCTGTTTCTTAACAAAACTCAAATCCTTAAGAACGCTGCTCGTTCAAGAGGTCTTTGCACAATGGCTTTATATAGCATAGTGTGGTAATGCGTAACCAATTGGACTTTAATATTTCAAGTCGAGACATTCACACATGCAGCGCTACCGTTGTATGTTTTTTTTTTCTTTTTTCGATTAAACAATTAGCCCCTTTTATGGCTGTCTGGCGCTGTGGCTTAGTTGGTCAAAGCGCCTGTCTAGTAAACAGGAGAACCTGGGTTCAAATCCCAGCAGTGCCTATTGTACAGGTTCCAGGACTGCTTTTTCTTAAGAGTTACGAGTGTTTACGCAGCGGGATGTTTAGCAGTCGGTTTCTTAACAAAACTCAAATCCTTAAGAATGCTGCTCGTTCAAGAGGGCTTTGGACGATGGCTTTATATAGCATAGTGTGGTAATGCCTAACCAATTGGACTTTAATATATCAAGTCCAGACATTTACAAATGCAGCGCTACCGTTGTTAATTTTTTTTCCCTCTTTTTTCGATTAAACAATTAGCCCATGTCAACATCATTTGGCACTGTGGCTTAGTTGGTCAAAGTGCCTGTTTAGTAAACAGGAGATCCTGGGTTTGAATCCCAGCAGTGCCTTGTCCGCAGTTAGCCATTCTTTCATGGGCCAGAGAGTACCAAAAAGTGCTTTCTGTGCAACAGTGCTTGAGGCAGGAGAGCACTCAAGCTCTGTGGTGCAATGTATAGCGCATTGGACTTCTAGGCTGTGAGCTGAGGCTGGAGTTTTAATCGGGCTGGGCCAATTGCCCAGGAAGTTAAGCAGTGAGGCCGAAATCATGTTGCGTTTCCACTCTCGCGCTAGTAGCTCGCAGCTCGTCACGCAAACCCCGCCCCCATAATGTCCCCCGAATCGAGCGTTACACAACTCGCCCTCTTCAGAGGGAATCAGGCAGATAAAGCACACCATCACATCCTCACGAAACCATTCAAATGAAGACAACTGAAACAAACAAATGACACGTTACTGTACAACATTACATTGTATGTCTATACGCACATGCCTGTCTGTTCTCATTCATCATACTCATTTACTCACCGACCGACTGATTTTGAAACTAATTTTCATGTGAAGCAACACGCCCCTTCACCTACTCCAGAACGCAGCAGCATGAGTGGTCTTTAATGAATTGAAAAGAGCACATGTCACTCCGCTACTCACCCGTTTGCACTGGCTGCCAGTTGCTGTTCGCATCAAATTCAAAGCTCTGATGTTTGCCTACAAAGCGACCTCTGGCTTTGCTCCCTCTTATCTGCTCTCCCTTCTGCAGATTTATATGCCCTCAAGAAACTTGCGTTCTGTGAATAAACGTCGCCTCGTGGTTCCATCCCAAAGAGGGAAGTAATCACTTTCCCGAACTCTCGCATTCAATCTGCCCAGTTGGTGGAATGAACTCCCGAACTGCAACAGAACGACAGAGTCACTTGTTGTCTTTAAGAAACGACTGCATCTGCAATTGCCTCTAGCTATACCACTAACTGTACTCAAAAAAAAAAAAAAAAAATTCTTACATTACTAATGCTTTCCTTCTTAGACTTTACAGACCTGAAACTTGCCTACAGCACTTATTTATTGTTGCTCTTATAGTTGTGATAATTGCTTCCTTGTCCTCATTTGTTAGTCGCTTTGGATAAAAGCGTCTGCTAAATGACTAAATGTAAATGTAAAACAGCAAGCTGTGTACACACCCTTAAAATGACACATTATAATAAAAATATCTGGATTGTGTTTTGAACTGAACCTAAACTGGCACACTCAGAAGAACCATAATAATAATGTTAAATCATAAAAAAGGGGTAAACTATGTGCCCTTTAAGCAATGTGTTAACTTTATTAAATATTCAATAATCATCAAGATTGATAAAAAAGTTCAACACACACAGCAGTGAACGTGTGCACACACACACACACATCAGTGAACATGTACACACACACACACACACACACACACAGTTGGTACAGTAGGCCTACATACTGTATCTACCTTGGAAGAAGTGATATGGTTCTTAAAGTGTTGTTTTACGTATGGAGCCTGATTGAATTTTATTTTAGTGTCTTCGTAAAAACATCTGTCCATAATTCCTGAAAATAGAAAAAAAATATATATAAATAAAGAAACTGCAAAGAAACGATTCAATCATATTAAAGAGATTTGAACTAACCTTCTTACACAACTAGCGGTCCAGGTCCCTGATGGAATATGGCTCCCCAGACATGAATTTTTACTGGATGCTTTGCTTTCGGTTTCACAACATGGCGGTTTATTAATAGGGTATGTCCTATTAATAAATTTGTAGGACATGTAAGCTCGTATAAAGCAAATAGCCTAAATAAAGAGATGCATGGATTAATGTAAATAAATAAATCTTTTCATTATGGCATAGTTCAAAATGGCTTACCTGGCTTTTCCATAGGTCCACCTGAGTTGTTTTACTGGTTTTCTAATATTGCAGACTGATGCTTTTAACTGTATTCTAAACAGAAGCTCACTCTGAATCTTTTTAGCAGATCGCTCATTGTCCTTGTGCAGTTTTTCGTCAATCGTTTTAAGTGCAGCACTATACAACAAACACATACAATAATTTTATTAATTAATTTTATTAACATTTTGACATAAGTGTTGCTGAAATACTTGATTTGACAAGATGATAATACACAATACCTGTTCATTTTCCTTGCCTTGCAGTTGTTTTTCTAGGAAGGCCTACAGGGCTTTGATGTCTATAGTGTGGTCTTGTAGTGGTAATGGAGACGTGCACACCCGACTGCAACAGGAAAGCCCTGATGTCAGCAAGAGAGTGCTTTGATGTGTTGATGCATCAGTTTTTTTTTTTCATTGCAATAACTGGTTGAAATGATCTGTAATTAAATCTATAGTGGACCTTCAAAGACAACCCAGATGGGACTTGAACCCACAATACCCAACTCCTGAGGCTGATGCCTTATCCATTAGGTCACTGGGCCATGTTGCCAAGCTTTTGTCATGGAGCTCTTGTATGCCTTCAACAAGATGCCAACGCATGGAAAACTGCACTTTAGGATCTCGATGCCAGTTTGCATTTCGTCAAATAAGATGTGTGCAACTAATGGATAAAGCCACTCTCATTAACATGAAACCACAACCTTTCTGTAGCTATTTTCTTGTTTGCATTTCATTATCATCCACCTAACATGAGACCATTAGTTGAAAGCCACGGGGTACTTGAAGTCAAGATCTCCATTACCAGAGCTTAGCGGAACCTTTTAGTATATATCTGCCCTACATGTTGAATATGCAAGAGACAATCTGATAATGACACATTTCTGATTCTATTTATATGTAGTCAATGACAGAGTGCAAGAATATGTGTATTGCATAGTTAATCATCTCAAATGTTTCATTTTAAAATGATTCAGAATTATGCATAGTTGTATGCTGATGTCATCATCACTGTCTTTTGAACTGAGGACCAGGACCATGACCTATCCTCAAAAGCCCCCCACCTTCCATTTATTTATATATATATATATATATATATATATATATATATATATATATATATATATATATATATATATATATATATATATATAGGTGGGGTGGGGGGGGGGAGAGCGAGAGAGAGAGAGAGAGAGACAGAGAGACAGACAGATACACATATATATATATATATATATATATATATATATATAAAAAAATAAACTGAGACACACACTCACACACACACACACTCTCTCTCTCTCTCTATATATATATATATATATATATATCTGTATCTCTCTCTCTCTCTCTCCTCTCTCACACACACACACAGAGAAAAACACATATACAC